TCTATTGGATTTTAATGTGTAAGCCTAAATCTAAATAGGTTACAGCCTTGCTGCCATACAAAAAGAAGAGAGATTCTATGACAGGGTGGAATTTCCACAGGTTGAAACTTTAGATAGATAGATGTTTTCCGTCTATATGTCTGTAGATAGACGTTTACCCCTCTCTCTCTCTCTCCTCTCTCTCTCTCTCTCTCTCTCTCTCTCTCTCTCTCTCTCTCTCTCTCTCTTTCTCTCTTTATATATGTTCATAAAACACTCCTTTTGGGGACTTCTTTTGAAATTTCACAAGGTCGGGGTGGGTTGTGGGAGGGAGGGGGGGGGTTACTTTCAAGAAAATGCGGGTAGGGGCGTGTGGTAGGGGCGTACACTTTCAAGAAAATGCGGTGGGGCGTCCACTTTTGTATGCGAGCGAGCATTGATGTTTAAAATCAATAACGCCCCAGGAATTACGCTACGGTACATTGAGAAAAAATCTCTAATGGTTAGCATGAGCACAGCGATTGTAATCCAAATGTGAGCGAAACACAAGAAAATTGAGGGCAGATCGAAGATGCATGGAGGAAAAAAGTTTTTTTTATAAAAGAAAATAAAAAAGGTGAACACTGAGTACGCGAGGAGAAAAATGATGGAACTCTGTATCTTAAAAGACTGAATGAAAAACATTATGGCATTGAGAAAATGAATGTTCAATTGAACAACTTGGAAAATAGACATCAAAACATCGGAAAACAAAAATATGCCTTAAAAAAAGAGGATAACAGAAAAAACTGTTTTCAAAAATCGAAATAAAGACAAAACTAAATGAGAACGTAGTATTATAACACTTTAAAACACGATTTTGATTATAGCCCTTTGCCGCTGTGTGCACCAGGTGGCGAGGCGAGGGGGTGGCGGAGTGACAGGGCCAGGGAGAAACGAACAAGCGTGTAGTAGTAAGGAGCATGATTCTCTCCCTTCCTCCTCGGCCGAACGCCAAGCGCACTACTCTGCTCTGTGCGTTTTGCTACTAAGTCCCTCGCTGGCTGTGTCGAGGCAATACAGGTTACTACTAGAACTGAAACTGCACGTTGCTCAACTTTTTTTTCGCTTTTTTTTTACTTTTGTGGAGCACCTTTTTAAAAAATTCCTTCATCTGTCAGTGTGTTTTGGAGATTCTGCTTTGTTGGCCGTGCTGCTTTCTGGATTTCTTTTTCTGCCTGTTCTTCACACAAGGCTTGGTGGCTCCGTCCTGTGTGTTTTCTCTCGCCTGATGTTGTTATCCCTAAGACGACGAAGTGGCACTATGAGTAACGGTTGAAAGCAGGCATGGGGCCGTGTGCGCTGTCTGCTGCCGCAGTTCTCAAGTATTTCGTCCTTTTTCTCGTTGTTCTTTGCGAAGCCAACGACAATGCCAAGCGTCTCTATGACGACCTGTTACGAAGAAGTGGCTACAACAAGCTGATTCGGCCTGTCGGTAACAACACGGACAAACTAGTGGTCAAACTAGGCATTCGATTATCGCAGCTGATTGATATCGTGAGTACTACCTCGTCAGTTCAAAATTTCTTGTTTACTGTGGTAGACCTAGATCTAGATCTGGATCTAGAATCTAGATCTAGATAGTATATATAGAAATCTTTGTTATTATTGGCAGCGCTGAAATTTGTTGTGTGTCTCATTATGTCACGTGAGTCCTCCGATCTCTTAACCCCACCACCCATTCTTTCGTTGTGTATTAGTTGTTATGCCAGTCTGTCTCATCTTTGTATGCTCCCTCGTCTTTAATTGATGTCTATATGTCTGCCTTTTTTACGTTTTGTATGTCTGGTAAAGGAATCTAACGTAATGTACACACTTTCCGATGAATGTGTACATGTGTGTGTGTGATTGAGTGATGTGTTTGGGGGCAAAAGGGGGGGGGGGTGGGTTCTGTTTTTATTTTTTGTCTCTCACCCTCTTCTGTCACTTTGCAGGCTTTTTGTTCCTTTCTTTCTTTCCTCACATTGTGTCTATACGTTTGCTTTTGCCAAGCTCCAAATAATGAGCAGTTGTCGTGTTAATTCTCACTGCCTCATTACTCACACTTTCCATAATAATCGTTTCTGTGCCTTCATTTAATCCCCAACAGAATCAATCACAACATGGAAAAATGGTTGTAACAAAAACCTTTGTTCCTGATGATAGAGCTGTGTTTCCTTCATTGTTAGAAAAATAGATATCGAAAAATGTGTGTGTATGTGTGTGTGCGTGTGTATGCGTGTTCGTGTGTGTGTTAAACAGAGGGAAGGAGAGAGAGAGAGAGAGAGAGAGAGAGAGAGAGAGAGAGAGAGAGAGAGAGAGAGAGAGAGAGAGAGTCGATGTTTGCTCATATTTGAATCTGTGCTCATGTGTGTGTGTGTATGTGTGTGTATGTGTGCGTGCGTGCGAGTGTGTGTATCTTATTATTTGTGGGAGAGTGCATATTATACGTGTGTGTGTGTGTGTGTGTGTGTGTGTGTGTGTGTGTGTGTGTGTGTGTG